TTAATTATATATAATATCTAAACACTAAATAACCTAAAATACTATTTTTAACCAAATTAGACAAATCAATGAATTACCTGAATATTTTTATCAAAAATATTCAACCTATCTGATATTTAAATAGTAGGTTAGTTTACATTTAAAATTAAATAAAAATATATCATGTAAAATAAATAAACATATCTTCTTTAAATTAATTGTTGACCAATTTCGTTTGAATCTCCAACTTATAATGTCTAGACCCATTTAATTTTTATATATCATAAAATTAATCATTTAGTTGTTTTATAAGAATGTAATATCAAAATTTAATAATTGATTGCATATAATTAACTAAACTAAAGTGTCATAGTTATAATATCATGAATATTTATTGTTAGAGAAATTTTATAATAGATTATGGAAAGTAATAAATGAGTTTATTTAAATTGTAAAGTATTTATATAGTTAGAGAAATATAAGGAAAGACTAAAATTATTAGTCTAATGGGTCCAAACAACTTTTTTAATTAGATTTATTTAGACTCCTTCTCTTTTAATAGTATAGATTGGTTTGAAATAGACACTTGACCGGTCTGTAGGAGTAAGCTAAAAATGCATTAATTTGCCATTCTACAAGAAAGGATCACAGGAAAGGACAACATTTTTTACAATAAAGGCCGAGAAAATCTCCCACATACAGATAACATTTCACGACCATTTCACCTTCGTTAAATGATTACAAACAACAAACCAAAACAAAAGTAAATCACTCCACTTAAGAAAAAGAAAAAAAGTAAAAAGATCTTTACTCCTTGGTGATTTCCAAAATAGTGGTAAGTCTCGGCTTCTTGTATCTTCTAAGAAGCAAAGAAGAGCAAACAACACTCACCGATGAGAGTGCCATACACGCTCCAGCGGCCCACGGCGGCAGTTGCACCCTCAGGATCGGGAAGAACACTCCTGCTGCTATCGGTATCGACACTACGTTGTAAGCCATGGCGAAAACGTAGTTTAACCTGATTCTTGTTAAGGTTTTGCGAGAGAGATCAATGGCTGTAATAACATCTTCTAAGTTGTTTCTCATCAGAACGTAATCAGCTGCTTCTATTGCTACATCAGTCCCTGCACCAATGGCCATTCCCACGTCAGCAGCTGCTAGAGCTGGCGAGTCATTGATTCCATCTCCAACCATGGCCACTGTGCTTCCGTCTTTTTGCAGTGAACGGATCACGTCAGCTTTTCCTGCAGGCATGACTTCAGCTCTGACGTCTTCGATACCAACCTGAACTCATGCAAAACCAAACCGAGATATAGAACCAGAATATCTAAACCGGAACCAACCACAAATGTTTTCTTTTTTACCTCTTTGGCGACTGCTCTTGCTGTTCTCCAGTTATCACCAGTAACCATTATGGGTCTAACACCCATTCTAAGGAGACCTTCCACGACTACAGCAGCTTCTCGCTTTAGCGGATCAGCAACTCCCATCACACCTACTAATTCACCGTTATAGGCTACAATGACTCCTGTCTTTGCGCTTTCTTCAAGCTCTTCTACAAATTTCTCTACATGGTCTGGGATGGTTATGGAGTTTTCTGACATAAGTTTACGGTTTCCAACCTGATGATGACAAAGAAAAATAAAAAACTTTCTTTCAGTTGACGAACACAGAACCATAAGCAAGAAAGTTGATATAATATGTTATGGAGTTTTAAACTCAACCAGAATCAGCTTGTTGTTGACTAAGCACTGAATGCCTTTCCCTGGAAGAGCAGAGAAGTCCGAAGTATCGAGTAACCATCCAGCGTTTTGAGAAACTTTGTTATTTGTTTCACCGTCCTCGGCAGATTCATCGAAGAAATGGAAATGCCTAGCGTACTCAACTATAGCTTTTGCCAATGGGTGTTCACTGCTAGCCTGTGAAAAGTGTGAGATGCGATGAATATCTTTAGTTACCTCACTAACAATGTAAGAAGCTAAGGGAAAAAGATTTATCATACCTCAGCGGAAGCGACAAGTATTAGGAACTCTCCACGGTCCATCTCTGAGAAAACTTTTGCGGTTGTCACGGTAGCTTTCCCTTGAGTTAAGGTGCCTGTTTTGTCGAAGATTACATATTTCACTTTGTGAGCTTTCTCCAATGCATCTCCTCCTTTGATCAAAACACCATTGGTGGCTCCAACTCCTGTTGCAACCATGACAGCGGTCGGTGTTGCCAAGCCAAGCGCACAAGGGCAAGCAATTACCACAACGGATATTGAGAACATAAGCGAGAAAACAAAGTGAGTTCCGTTTTGGGGCAGCCATTCGTCTGGGTAAGCTCCAACAGCTCCACCAATTGACCTACAATATTATTTGGTTCAAGCAAATGAGAACAAACTAATCCCACATGTCTTTCATCAGCTAAGGAACAAGATCTTACCAGCCTACTAGAGTGAACAATGCCAAAGTGATCACTACCGGAACAAAAATACTTGCAACCTGAAAATGAGGATTCATTTATTTACATGTTGAAGTTTATATCACAAAGAGCAAGCAATGACACTAAATGGATGGTACAATTATTGACATGTCTACTTACATAGTCTGCAAATTTCTGGATAGGAGCTTTGGACATTTGGGCTGTCTCCACCAAACTAATAATCTGGCTCAGAACTGCATCAGATCCCACTTTTGTAGCTTTGATGTGAAGAACACCATGCATATTAATAGTACCACCGATCACGGGTGAGTCAACCTCTTTAGATACAGGAACTGATTCACCAGTCACCATACTTTCATTGACGTAACTTGAACCCCACACCACAACACCATCTGCAGGGATCTTTCCACCAGGTAGAACTTTTAATGAATCACCAGGATGGATCAGTAATGCATCTATCTCTCTTTCTCCTACAAAGTGGAAGAAAAATAGTTGTGTTGTTAGTTATTTTTCTACAGATTTCACTCCCATTGATCAACAATTCTCATAGAGATAAAGTACCTTTGCCTTCGATTAGTATCGCTGTTGCTGGAGTAAGTTGTACTAGTTTCTTCATAGCATCTGAGGTTTTCCCCTTCGCAAGAGATTCCAAATATTTTCCCAGCAAGACAAATGTTATCAACATAGCGCTTGCATCAAAGTAAGTTGGTGACCAAAACCCAGTGACTGCTCCATACAAAAGAGCCCCAACAGAGTAGAAGTAAGACGCAGACGTGCCCAGAGCGACCAGCACATCCATGTTAGTTGAACCATTTCGAAGAGCTCTCCATGCGGCAACATAGAAACGCTTGCCAATAACAAACTGAATAACACTTACCAAGGCCCATTTCAAACAATCACCGACCATGAAGGGACCACATCTCCACACCAGTACGGTATCAAAAAGAGCAATGTGGGGACAGATCACTTGAATAAAGAAGAGTGGAATCTGTAAATCAAAGAATCCATATTAAAGACATTAAATAACAGATTCAAGACCGCTGAAAGCATCATAAATGAGTGTGTATAAAAGATAAGTAACTCACACTAAGAGAAAGACTTGAGATAAAACGACGAAACATAAACGAGGCCTCTCCAGTATCTTTAGAAGTCAACCTCTCGTAAGGACTCATAACACGCAACTTAAACTTCCCATACCCTTCTCCTTCAATCCCATCAACCAACGACCTCGAGCTCACAACTTCAGGATCAAACACAACCTCAAGCTCTCCCGTTATCCGGTCAAGACGAAACTGTCTAACCCCATTCAACCTAGTAAGTATACCTTCAAGAACCTGAGCATCAAGCTCATTCATCACACCATCAACCCTCAAAAGCAACTTATCCTGCTGATTACTCTGCACAAGCGAACCCTCAAACCCAGCATCTTCAATCGCAGTCACAATCTCATCTTTACTAATCACATTAGGATCATACTCAACTTCACCTAAGGAAGTAGCTAAAGCCACAACAGCTCGCTTCACTCCAGGGAGATCTCTTAGAATACCTTCAACAGAGTTAACACAAGCTGCACACGTCATGCCTCCAATTGTAAACTGACCCACCAAAGTAGCGTGTTGTGTCTTTGTCCCAGAAGTAACAGGCTCAGACAAAATCTCAGCCTCGAATCCAGCATCCTCTATCGCCTCTTTAATATCCTCTTCCTGTTTTAAAAATCAAATCTTTAACGCGTTCAAGATCCAAATTTGGAAACAATAATTAAAAAAAAATTAAGACAATAAATTAAAAAAGAGAAAAAAGGCAAAACCTTGACTAAGATGGGGTCAAAAAGGACATCGGCTCTGTTCTGTAATAAAGCGACGGAGGCTTTGAAGACACCGTTAACGCTCATCAAAGCACCTTCGACGGAATTAGAACAAGCGGCGCAAGTCATACCGGTTACTCCGACCTGAATCGTCCGAAGATTGTTTGCTCCTCCTTCCTCGATCTTACTAAGAGAATCATCGTTGTCGTGGTCGTAGGAATCGAGGAGACGGACTTCCTCCATGGCGCCGATCTCCGCATCAGTGTCTCCGGAGAGAGGAGTAAGCTGTAAATCCCGTCTACTCGGCGCCATTCTTTTGTCTGATTTGAGCAGACGGAGGAAATGGATTTGATGATGATGAGGTTTGAAATCTCAGAGAGACATTCTTATGTAATGTAAGGAAAGGAAAGTAATAATAATAATGGAGTTTTTGAGGATGGGACAAGGAAGGTGGGGAAAGCAATTCGTCAACTAACACAAACACGCACCTAATTTTGATTGACTGTTTTGCCCCTGGGATTTGTTTTTTTTTTTTACATTTGCTGACGAGTTTATTGTTGTCGTCATTGCTTGCACACGATCCAAAGAAAAAAAAGTGAAGGAAAACTAAGTATACTGGGTGAATCTATTTACCTGAGTATTATTACTGGAGGTATGATTTTTCATTTGCGTCAAAAATTAAGAAAATATAATAGATGTCGCCGTCTGTGGGGATCGAACCCACGGCCACGGGATTAAAAGTCACGCGCTCTACCACTGAGCTAAGACGGCTCTGATATTTTAATCTAACAAATTAAAATAGAACTTGTGTTTTTGTTGGTAGGGAACATGTTATAATGAGAGTATTTTGAATAGTTTGTTTTCCGCCATAATATAATAATAATAAAAATTTCTTCATTTTCAGTTCTCATGTAGTAAGACTTTAATCCATGGAACTTATAAAGTAATCTTTTTCAAATTATTTTGCATTCAAGCCACTAATAAAAATACTTTTATATATTCTTCATTACAGTTTTTTTGTAAAACATGAAACGAGAAAATGATAGCAAGAGTTTCTAGAGCCTCATCAATTGTTTGTGAGCTTATCATGAGAGGATTTTGAATAGTTTGTTTTCCGCCATAACAATAATAAAAAAAAAAAAAAAAAAAAATTTCTTTTTTCAAAAAAAAATAATAATAATAAAAATTTCTTCATTTTCAATTCTCATGTAGTAAGACTTTAATCCATGGAACTTCTAAAGTAATCTTTTTCAAATTATTTTGCATTCAAGCCACTGATAAAAATACTTTTATATATTCTTCATTACGATTTTTGTAAAACATGAAACGAGAAAATGATAGCAAGAGCTTCTAGAGCCTAATCAATTGTTTGTGAGCTTGTTGAAATATTCTTCGAAACATGTTAAATGACATTTATTGTTGTTTGACGTCGTTGTCTACTAAATCACGATTTAATTCCTAAACCCAACATCCATAGATTCATAGTGGTAGACGAACAAAAAGAAGAAAAAAAACACCATAGTGGTAACTATCTTTGGCACATAGCTATTTGTGTTTTTTCTATAGCAAATTAGTTCCAACTACTATTATTTCCACGGCTAATTAGTAATTACTGCTACTTACTTTTCGATGGTTCGTTGAACCTACTGCGATTCCAATTAGTGGTGGACTTATGGGATAATATCTTAATGTTTATATAGTACTACAATAAATGCTGAACGAATTGATCTATACCCAGACAACATGTGATTACAATCCAGTAAATGCATCTTCATATACGAATTACTCGATTTGACCAATTCAATCCGTTTGTTAAAACAAGAATTTGGGTTGACTGGTGCATTTGGTCAAGGAAGGTTTGTGATGTAACTATGAATCCGCCACAAGTTCATTGAATGTTAATTTCAAGATCTAACTAATTTATTATTGAAGAGAAAACTCTAAAGCTTTCTGATTAATTAATTAAAATAAAAAATAATTGTATAGAATTAAGAAGATTTGCTCATTATTTGTTATTGGTTGTCTTATTTTATATCCACTGTGGTTCCAAAAATTGTATTTGTAGTAATTTATACGATATCCCTTATATATTAATCATGAAGCATTCATAAATGCACAACCTTGGAGAGCATGCTTACGTGTCAAGTTCACAGAGCTTCTCAGCCTTAATTTTTTAATGGACCAACTTTGCCAAGAATGAAATAATGTAACATTTAATTTCTTGCATTTAAGACTATAATATATAGACATTTTGTAAGGGACCAACTTTGCTAGCTATAAAACAATATATTTTATTTCCTTAAATAAAAGCTACGAAATTACCTAATATGATTATCATATATGTGTAATTAATGATTATGAATAATGCATATTTTTGTGTCCTCTTTTTTTTTGTTTAATTTTAAATTATTAAAATAAATTAAACAATCACATTAAATATATAATAAAAAATTAATTTTTTTCTTATAGGTTATATTTTTAATTTTTAAAACGACCATAAATAACTCAAAATAGTACAATCCCTCATTGAAAATTTTATGATCAATGGTTTAACTTTGTTTCTTTTTACAAACAAGATACAAATTATCATAAATCGTACGAATATGAAGTATCATTAGTAGATATTCATATTATAAATATGTTAATTTAAAAATTTCAGTGAAAAGGTTTGAGGTTAGTAGATACAACTTATAGTATTCAAAAGATTTTTGTAGTTTGTTTTATTTG